CTTAAGTTCACCATATTAGACTCTTAGGATCACGATAGGACTTTCTTGGTTTATAACGTAGGCTCAGGGTCACGTATGGTATATATGGGTACATTTTAGCGACTTGTTTCCCTCCTTGACATTACGGCTAATCGTCCTACCTCTTTCATTATCTATTATGTCCTACTTTTTCTTTTCATCTTTGCCTTATTTTCTCCTTTCTTTCTCTTTTGTGAAAGCGACTCGTATCTTTTTGTTCAACACTCTTTTTCTCTTTTTTTATTCAATTGACAATTTTGACTGAGCCACTTCTCTTGTTCACTATTCCTTTTCTTTTCCACATTACTCTTTTCATATCCACTTTCCGGGTCATCACTCATAATAACCACCCTCAACTTATGACTTTGCCATGAGTCGCTGTACACGTTATCCAAGGTTGGTCAGGGACAAGACGAGGTCAGTTTCTGCATTAGCAACCCTCAACTTATGATTTTGGCCTAAGTTGAGGTGCACATGTCCAAGGATGGACCAGGGCCAACACATTTTACCCAGGGACGATGAGTCCGTCAAGAAAAGAAAGGTCTATTATAGGCTCAAAATAGTTTGATAAAAAATGGATTACAATTTCATGTAGTTCAGTTTTCTTTAGGCTAGATGTTTGCTAATCTGAACAAGGGCCTATGATCCTTTTCTAATTGTCTAACACAGATTCCTTTTGTAGGACCAACCGGGAAAATTCTAGGTAGGTACCAAAAGTGGAACAATCAAATCTCCTCACACTCTCTTGACCCCTCATTACACTATCAGGTTCTCGGTCAACTAGTTTGAGTGTTAAGAGTGAGGGTCATGCAGTGGGTGCATCTCTATGTCATGATTAGAGCGAACACATTAACATTCATTATACCTATTCATGCAAGCACTTTCTTAGAATGGGATACCATTCATGTTTAGCCATCATGCATAATTTTTCACTTTCATACTTTGTACAAGTTACGACACATGCCAGTTCAATAGTAAAGTAATCAGTATCTTGGGGCGAAAGAACAAATGCAAGAAAACTACCAAGAGAGGATCGTGAGTTAGGCTACTCAGACTTCACCCTAGCACTCACTTGTCATTTAACCCACCCCCAACAAAAAAATATGCAATTGTACCCAATTCATAATAAATAAAAAGACAAGGTGGTAGGTGAAGCAAACCCGAGGCTCATAGCGCCGAAGATCAACAAGCAGGCGGGTCTAGTTTTCCGAAACCTGTACCCTCAGTAGGGACACCCTCAACAGTGACCACAGTAGTATACACACCCTTAGTGGTGCTATTCTCAACAACCTCCAATCTGGAGCTAGGAGCCCCAACAACCAACTCTCGAACCCCTTATCTGACGGGTCTCCTCATCAACAAAAGAGGCTCTCCTTGCAGCCTTAAGATCTGTCTACTTATTCTTTCTAGAACGTGCCTCATCTAACTCAATGGTATGGCTGGAACGGTGCCTCATGTCACACTCACGTGGCTCAGGCAGCAGTTTAGTGGGAGCAGTGAATAGTGCAAAAAACACTGTGTCCTCTGCAAGCTCAACTAGTGCAGTCTCGAGCTCGGGACACCTCATCTCCAATATGCTATCAGCATATGCCCGCAAACTTGGCAAAACTTCTTGAAGAGTAGTCAGATCAATGGTGGGGGCTGGGCGTGCAAGAACTCACAACTCAAATGCATTGAGGCCTTGGTGGACCGCCTGAATCATTATCTCTGTCTACTGAGCCACTTTTTTCTCAATTTGGTCCTCAGCCTCCGCAATAGGTTTCTGCATTCAAGGCTAGATATGATGTAGCCAAGTAGCCATCTGGGCCTCTAGATTCCGGACCCTAGCAATCGGGACCAGTGCTGGTAATGATGGCGTACATTGGGAGGAATTTAGGTACCCTAATAGTGCCAGGGGAAGACTCGGCCGGGGTAGTATCAGTCATCTCTAAAATGGCAGGATCAACCTCTTGGTCTAACTCCATTATATCTGCTAATTTCTCACTCAAAGGCTGCAAATCAACTCTAGGTCCACGTCGGGGTGCTTCCATATTGGCCTCATCCCTGATGATATCGATATCCACTGTCCTAGTAGGAGTACGAAGGACATCACAATGCCACATGGGCACACTAGCATCCCAGCGTAGCTGAAAAATCATATAGGTAAACGGGTAAGTGGTAGAGGACTTAAAAGCCCTATAATGTATCACATATATCAATAAATTTGGGAAGTTGATCTCAAACCCGGCTACCAGTGCTGCAACTATGACCGCTCTGTCCCAAGTAAGGATGTTATCTACTGCTGTGAGGGATAGGAGGTGTTGGACTAACAACCACAAAAACTTGGCTGCAAAGGTGAGGTTGGCCTTCTTAATAAGGCCACTGGGGTCTAACACCCAGTCTGCTCCCTTACTGTCAACGGACAAATACTATGCAAGCCACCTTTTGGTGGACTCACTCTTCTCTTGGGTCCTCTGAAATTAGCCACTCTTGACCAAGCCCCATCTGTAATTGAACTCTGGAGTAAGGGGATCCCACGTGGGATCAGTGGGCACTATGTACAGAAAGAGGAGGATGGTAGTGGGAGAAATATCTACCCGGCATCCTCTAACGATAACCGTTGTGAGTGGGTCGTGTTTGGCTGGTATCAACTGCCTATCCAAAGAACCTCTGAGTGTTGCCACGTACGATGCGTAGAACTTTCGTTCAATCTCATCATTGTAGGACACCACACTCCTCGCCATCTATTCAAGCCTGTGGCGGGTAAATAATCCACGCACCTCAGGAACGGTGTGCAGGATAGTTGTAAGAACTTGCCGCTAGACTGTCACCAACCGAGTCATCACCCCCTTATCATTAAACATCTTTGCATCCCTGTAGACCTAGGTACTGACCATCTACTCACCACCGGTTTGGCTCATCGGAAACTGCTGCAGGGATCTCAGGCTGGAGTGATGGAGCAGACTCCGAACTTTGAGCCTCATCAGACAAGGCATGGCGGGCAAACACATTTGGGAGAGTGGCTCCCAGTGATCCTAAAATGGACGAAGTGGTCTCATTCGACCCCGTAGAGTGGGCCGACTCTGAACCTGAAGCCTTCTCAGAGCCAAATGCTCCCTCATAACTCAAGGCAGACCCAAACGGTATGCCGTTCATTGTACGTACCTCATCAGAGTTGGAGGTAGTGACTACGCCGGACAGCACATTCTTGGGGGTGACCCGAGTGTCTTTAGCAGTGGTGTAGAGGTTCGGGTACCAGGGGGCACGTATTCCGGATCCTACTTATCATGGACATACCAATCAACCGTCGGGAAAGTGCCACAGACGTGGATCTACCCCTTGAATAAACGAGGCCTTGTTTCGGGGCCATAAGTACCTAAAAAGCAAATTGATAGTATTAATGCAATAAAACTACACAAGCAAAATGATCAAAATAGAACGTGGATATACTAGGCCCACGCAAGTGCAAAATTATAGTATTGGGAGTCAGGCCTTATCGACAGCCCATTAATTAATCGATGGTCTGTAGATAGTGTCTGTCGATGGACACTTAGCAGATTTTAGAAGTCTAAACTCCATAGACCTCTCAGTTAGAAACGAGGGACGTGCAAAACAACCTATCTATTAATCAACAAACCGTAGCCCACTTCCATCGTTTGACACTTAGAATAATTTAGAATTTCTCAGGACTCATAGTTGCAGTTATAAATGACGGACGTGTGCAGAACGGATCATCGATCAATCAACGGACTATAGTCCACTTCCATCGTTCCAAAGTTAAGCATATTTAGAGTTCAGCCATCGACGATCCGTCAATCAACAGATGGGCCGTGGACGGGGTCTCGTCCTATTGTCAGAAATAGGATTTAGGACTTGGGTTTTAAACCTACATATGGACAACTTTAAGCACATCACAAGTTCACCCAACAAATAAAAACAAGTATAAGACCACTTTGTAATCCTTATGGCTTCAATTTTGCAAATTTTGATCACGGATTCTATGAGACTATCAAGTCCTAAGTCGGAAAATCAACAATCATATTGAATTGGCATAGATTTCACCCCCAACCCATTAAGTTTCTATCATTCTAAGGGACATAGAACCAAAGTTTAACAATTTTAACAAGCATATTTGTCCCTAATTCAAGACCCACATACAATTTTGGCTTTTTTCAATAGAAAATGAACGAGAATTCATTAAGCTAAGTGAATTGAAATACCTGATCAGTAGTGGATTGATGGAGTGGGTGATCTTCTCAACAATCAACCCACGTTCCCTCCTTCGAATACAGACCGGAGAAAACAAAGGAAATGGAGTACAAACTGGGGAGGTTAGGGCTTTGGGATTACTGGGAGTTTCAGGGTTGTGGGGGTCTTGTAAGAAAATGGAAGGGCGTAGTTATGGGAGTTAATGGAGAATGAAGGGAATAAAGGGAGGGAAACGGTAGGGAGGGAATTTTAAAATATGTGGGAATGTAAGTGAATGGTTTAATTTTAATGTAGCAGGTAGGTTCCGGTCGGGTCATTGTTTTTTTTTGAGCTAACAGTACCTCGTCGACGGTCCATAGGTAAGTCGATGGACCTTCAACTGGGGCGTTGATTGTGCATAGATTTAGACCAAAGTTTAAGACATACCTAGGATCTAGGGACACCATCGACATTACATCGATTGAACGACGACCCACTGTTTGGTCCGTAGATCTGTTCACCAGATCAATTTCTGCAAAATTCTTGGGTTTGGTCCCTGTATATTGAACACCCATTAAGCTATTTTTTTGTGTTTTTCTAGACAGTTTTGAGACACGAACCCTAAGCTACTCTCTAGCCAACACACTAAAAAAATATCACATGAGAATGGATAAAATAAAAACAAAACAATAGAATACAAATGTTCCTAAAAAGAAAAGAAAAAAAACCTATTGTTGGTTAGAGGATACACTTTGGGTTGCCTCCCAAGAAGATCTTGATTTAAAGTCGTGGCACAACGAAAGATCCTTGATTACTCAGACTTCATCAGGGTGATATGCGTCAACCACTTCATGAACACTCTCCGCATGCCCTAAGTAGATCTTGATTCTTTGCCTATTGAAAGTGAAGTTTGCACCCTTCTTGTTCTCCGACTCAACTGATCCATGTGGGAACACTTTAGTAACAAGGATTGGCCCAGTCCACTTGGACTTGAGTTTGCTCAAAAACAAGCGTAGCCTGGAGTTTAAAAGAAGCAGCAAGTACCCAACCGCAAATTCTCGCTTCTCAATCTTTTGGTCATGGTAGTTCTTCATCTTCACTTTGTAGATGGTTGAGCTTTCATATGGTTTTAGGCAAAACTCATCAAGCTCATTCAACCCGTTAAGTCTCTTTTCCACTGCTTCATACCAATCCATCTTCAGTTTCTTTGTCGCCCACATACCCTTGTGCTTTAACTCAACCGGCAAGTGACAAGCCTTCCCATATACAAGTTGGTATGGAGACATACCTATGGGGGTCTTGTATGCATTCCGGTAGGCCCAAAGAGCATCATCAAACCTCTTTGACCAATCCGTTCTATTAGCATTCACTATTTTTGACAGGATCTGCTTGATTTCTCTGTTGGACACCTCAACTTGCCCACTAGTCTGTGGATGGTACGGACTTTCTATATTGTGGCGAACCCCATATTTCTCCAATAACCCTTTGAATAACTTGTTGCAAAAGTGAGATCACCCATCACTAATAATGTCCCTAGGTGTGCCAAATTTGGAGAAGATGTTCTTTTTCAAGAACGCGGTGACACTCTCCCCTTCATTTTTGGCAAGTGCTATGGCTTCCACCCATTTTGACATAATCTAGCGCCACAAGAATATATTTCATCCCATGGGAACTCATAAACGGGCCCATAAAATCAATGTCGCATACATCAAACAACTCAATTACTAGCATAAGATTTAAAAGGGAGCTTTTGCCTCTTCGAAATTCATCTATCTCTTTGGCACCTATCACATGGCTTGGCAAACTCATGAGCATCTTGGTGGATGGTTGGACAATAGTACCCACACTGCAAAATCTTTGGGCTGTCATGATACCACTATGATGCCTACCCACAGGCGAGGAGTGGCATGTCTCCAAACACTTACCATCTCAACTTCCGGCATACAACGGCGAATAAGCCCACCTGCACAACTCCAGTATAAGTAAGGCTCATCCCAAAAGAAATTTTTCACATCATGCATGAATTTTTTCCTCAGATGGAAGGACAAGTCTGATTGGACTATATCACTAGCCAAATGATTTGCAAAATAAGCAAACCATGGAATCAAGCATGAGAAGCGGCTAATACATGCTCATCAGGGAAGGTATCATCAATTTTAGCCTTTTCACCCAACTCTCGCATAGCTTCATCCTCTAATCTGGACAAGTGATCGACAACTTAATTTTTAGTCCCTTTTCTATCTTTCACCTCAGAATCAAACTCTTGCAGTAGTAGCACCCATATAATCAACCTTAGCTTCACATCCTTCTTTTCCATCAAATACCTCAAAGCGGAATGGTTAGTATGCACTATAACTCTCGTGCCAAGCAAATATGAGCGAATTTTTTCGAAAGCAAATACCACCACAATGAGCCTTTATTCAGTCACAGTGTAGTTCTTTTGTGCTTCATTTAAGGCCTTACTAGCATAATAGATGGGTGAAGGATTTTATACCTTCTTTGTCCCAATACCACACCAAGAGCAACCCCGCTAGCATCACACATTACCTCAAATGGCTTACTCCAATCTAGGGAGAGAATTATGGGCAGACACCAACTTCTCCTTCAACTCTCCAAATGCCTTCAGACAGAATTCATCAAAATAGAATTTACATTCTTTCTCAAGTAACTTGCAAAGAGGATGTGAAATTTTTGAGAAATCCTTAATAAACCTTCGGTAGAAGCCTGCATATCCCAAAACAATTCTCCCACCTTTCACAGAGATGGGTGGAGGAAGTCTCTCTATAAACTTAAATTTTGCTCGATCAACCTCTATCCCCTTCTCTGAGATGCGATGGTCCAATACCATACCTTCTTTCACCATGAAGTGACAGTTTTCTCAATTTAGAACAAAGTTGCAATTGTCACATCTTTTGAGAACCTCGGTCAAGTGACTCTATCAATGATCAAAAGAGTCTCCAACAACTAAAAAATCATTTATAAACACCTCAATAGAGTCCTACACCATATCAGAGAATATTGACATCATACATGTCTGAAAAGTAGCTGGTGAATTACACAACCCAAAAGGCATCCTCTTGAATGCAAACTTCCCATAGGGGCAAATAAAAGTGGTCTTCTCTTGATCCTCCGGTGTAATATAGATTTGATTGTAACCCTAATAATCATTAATAAAATAGTACCATCCTTTTCCTGCAAGTCTATATAACATGTGGTCCATGAAGGGCATAGGGAAATGGTCCTTCTCAGTCCATGCATTCAATTTCCGGTAATCCATACAAACTCTCCATCCAGTCACTGGCCTCAATGGAACAAGCTCATTACTCTCATTAGGCACTACTGTTATTCCCCCCCCCCTTTTGGGCACACACTGAACAAGGCATTACCCAACTACTATCTGCAATAGGATATATGACTCCGGCATATAACCACTTAATGATCTCCTTCTTCACTATCTCTTGCATAAGTGGATTCAACCGTCACTGGTGCTCAATACTTGGCTTGTGATCAGGCATGAGTTGGATTTTGTGTGAACAAATACCGGGTGAAATCCCAATAATGTCCTCAATAGTCCACCCAATGGCTCGTTTGAACCTCTTTAAAACTTCCAAAAAATACTCTACTAGTTGCATATTCAAATCTGATGCAATGATTACCAGCAAAGTGTCATCTCTTCCCAAGAATACATACCTCCGATGAGGTGGTAGAGCCTTAAGCTTTAATTTTGGGCCTCCTCAATCGATGGTTTCGTGGGTGGAGACTCTCTATGCTTCATATCTAACTTCAATTTCTTTGGTTTGGACCGAAATTCACCTTGTTCAAGTGCCACAACCAACGACCCGTACTCTTCGATACCATCACTCTCAAAATTCATGATCACTGCCGCTAGTGCCTCAAAACCAAGGCACTTTTTGATTTGTACCTCAGCGTACTTTCAACCTTGTAGGATATAGCAGATAACACTTGTAGCTTAGCACTGTGCTTCATGGACCTACAAATGTTGAAAGTTGCTTCTTCATTGTTCAACCTAAACTTCATCTGTCATTTTTCCATATCAATCAAGACGCGAACAGTAGCAAGGAACGACCTCCCAAGAATAATAGGCATCTCAAAATCCATCTCACAGTCAAGAATCACAAAAGCGGCTGGAAATATGATTGACTCCACCTTTAGGAGCACATCATGGAGTATCCGGCCATCAATAACTGCATCACAGTAGGCTTTAGTTCACCCAAACCTAATTTCTTATAAATGGAGAGAGGCATGATATTTATGCTTGCACTAAGATCACATAGTGTTTTAGCAAAGTGTAACAAACCGATGGTACGTGGAATAGTGAAAGAGCCCGTATCTTATTTCTTTTGCACAAGAGATCTTGTAGCAATAACACTACAATGCTGCATTCGGTCATCATCCTCAAAACTTACCGATCTCTTATTTGTAACCATATCCTTCATGAACTTGGCATAACTGGCATTTGTTCTAGAACATCTATCAAAGTACATTGATGGAAAACTATTTCATCATAGTGATAAAATGCTGGTATTTACCATCCTCAGTCTTCTTCACCAATCTCTTAGGAAATGGTGGTGGTGGTCTAGGAATGCGGATCACTTTTTGGGGTACCTCTGCTTCTTTCACCGCTTTGTCCACTAATTCACCACTAGTTTCCACTACCTCATCATATTTTCTCACCTCATCTTCTACTAGAGAGAGCATAGGTGGATCATTTGTTTGCTTAACCCCTCAAGTAGTAACTGTCATGCAATGTCCATCATTTTTGGATTTTGAATGGTATTTCTAGGAAGAGTACCCTGTTGACGTGGGTTCACAATAGTAGAAAATTGGATCATTTGTAACTCAAGATTCTTGATCGAGATCGCATGCACATCCAACTTTTGTGTGATATTAGCCAAATAACCTCTCAATTATGTGGCGTGCTCATCACTAACATCAAACCTCCTCCTCATCTATTGCAACATATCTTCAACTCACGCCATACTACCTCCACCATCTCTAGGAGCAACTTCCCGATTTTGAGGCCAAACACAGGGGCCACTTTGATTATTTCTGTTACCATAGTCACCATAATTGAGGTTGTTGTCGCAGTTATAATTTCCCTATCGAACATAATGGCACTCTCTGTTGTAATTCCCATAGTTTCGAGCTTGATTTACTTGACCTTAACCCTAATTCTCCTTATTGGAGCCTTGGGCGTTCGGTTGGAACCCCCCGTCTGCTCATTCACTGCATAAGAATCCTCTTCATAGTAGTAGTCATCCACTGGTGGTGGTGGTTTAGTTAAATAATTCACCGCATTTACCTTCTCTGCACCTCCAGTGACATGTTTTAATACCAATCCGAGCTCAGTTCTCATTTGAGACATCTTTTCACGAATTTCATTTGTGGACGAGTAGCTTGCACTTCTAAGGTGTTTGTCCAAGTGTATGACCTCTAGTGCTCCAAGCCTTATTGTTGCGAGAGATTTTCTCCAACTTCTCTACGATCTCTACATATGTGCACTCACCATAAGAACCACCCGCAATGGTATCAAGCACTGCCTTAGTATTATCATCTTGCCCCCAATAGAATTACTCTTTCAATGAATCATCATCAATGCGGTGGTTTGGGACACTTCTCACGAATGCAGTAAATCCATCAAAAGAGCTACTCACCGACTCCCCAAGCAATGCTACAAAATTGTTCACTCTATCTTTGTGGTTGATCTTTTTGGACACCTGATAATACAGTGCAAGGAACACATCCCTCAACTGATCCCAAGTATAAATCAAATTATTGGACAACTCAGTAAACCATATTGTAGCCTCTCCCATAAGTGAGAAAGGGAACACTCTTAACCCGATGACGTCCATGTCCAAGTCTGGTCTCCCTACACAACTCTTGCACACAGACCTCAGTTTGGTGATGTGAGCATCCTCAGATGTTAGCCCTGAAAACAAACCTCTAGCGGTGAGCATCTGCATCAAGCTAATAGTTACCATGAATGTGTGACCCTTCGGTAGAGGAGGTAGGACAAGGAGGCCATCAGAATCAGTGATGTTAATGTTACCCTTATAGAACTCTTGAAGGCGTAGGACGGGAGGTTGCCTCCTCATAGCATCATCACCCGGGTTTTCCGCAATTACTTGGTTGTGAGCATTAACCGGTGGAGGAAGCCGACGGTTGATCCCATTAC